GTCTGCCTCCTCTGTCCAGTCAAGTAACTTAGCTCTCAGCCCACTGTGGGTGCTTGGTCCTTGGTTGTCCTTGTTGCAGGGATGTTTCTGGCTCTCCCTTGGAGTCGACCAGTTAATTGCCTCTGAACTAAATGTGGGCATTCACGAAGGAGTGTTTGCTACTGGAGCCACTCTGTCAGTGAGAGGAGCAACGTGCCAGGTTTGGCTGCCTCCACCCTCAGCAGCCCTCCCACTCATCTCGGCAGGCTTTGCACTTGTTGCATGTCTCTTGTGAGGCAATGTCAGTACTTGGGTGGGCTGCAGCACACTGCTTTCACTGTTTAAGCTACTTTTAAATCGGGGGAAAAAAACGTAAACCCACAAAATATTATTCTTGGGGCCACTGGAACTCCTGTACGTCATATCTAGGGTCAACCTGCTCTCATATGGGCTAGCCTTTAGGAATACAGTGCAATAGATATATATTTGTCTTGTGGATGTCTGAAATTTTCAATTTGAATCCTACCCATTGCATTTTAAACTAATGAAACCCCTGCAAAATTTCACTGATGAGCAAGCTCTGTTCTGCTGTACCCTTCCAAAAGGGGTTAGCATGGTGCTACAGAGTGCAGCCAGAACAGCTGAAGATGAAGATGTTTATGTTAAGACTTGTTTCTATGTCCAGCAAATATTTGTGTTTATTGCCACAAGTGCTTTCTGCTCACATTTGGTCCTGCCTCAAACGTAAAAAATTATTGTTGCACAGCTTAATCAGAGGATTTTATATTTTTCTCTTAAGACATCTGTGTATGTATTGACAAGCCTTTTGTTTCTTCATTGAAAGCAACAGACTTGCTTGGAAGGGCAATGATATTCCCAAATTTTTGTTTATAAACATGGTCGATATGTTTCTGGATTTTAATAGGCTGTTAAAAAGGAATGAGGTGAAAAGACAGCTACTGAGTTAAAAAAAGATGGAAGTATGGAAAACTTCCAATCTAAACAGAAGGGAAGAGAGGGGCTGGGCTGTTTAAATGCGTGCTCTGAAACTGTATGATTCATTTGCAAAGAATTTAATGGTTTATACTTCAATGTTCAAGCTGATGCTACAAAAGAGAAATTTTTATTTCAGATTTTTAGGACAAATGATGTCATATATATGCTACAGATTATTGGGGGATCATCAGATGACTATCATAGGTTGCTGATGAGGGAGAAAAATTTAGAAAGAATTGGTCTCTGGAGAAAAGTCACTGTGGATTACTGTCAGATTGGTTTGATGGAAACATCGGTCCTTATTCTTAAGCGTGAAGTACTTGGAAAAAAAACAATCGGGTCTTCAAATGTGTCCTGGTTTTCCTACCAATGCGATGGCATTGCTGGAAGATTTTCTTTGCTATGGTTACCTCATCAGGTGAAGATTTAGACATCATTCTGGACAGTACTTTCTAGATATCTGTTACATTTCTGGGATGGCTGAAGCTAGTGACTGACCAGTGCCAGTCTTCTTTCTGATTTTTCATACAATGCTAATTCAGGTAAGGTGTCTGTAAGTGAAACATTGTAAATATAGGGGTACTTCAAGGTAGCAGTAGGATATTTTTAAGTGGCACTGTAGCTTTCCAGGTACTTTCATCTCAATTGTGGAAGCAGTATACATTGGTGTTGGGGAAACAGTCATGGTATCTTTGGTAGATGTGTCCTTATGACAGGGCCTACAAGAAAGCTGGGGAGGGAATTTTTAGGATATCGAGTAACAACAGGACTAGGGGGAATGGGGCAAAGCTGGAAGTGGGCAGATTCAGGCTGGATGTGAGGAAGGAGTTCTTCACCATGAGAGTGGTGAGACCCTGGAATGGGTTGCCCAGGGAGGTGGTTGAGGCCCCATCCCTGGGGGTCTTTAAGGCCAGGCTGGATGAGGCTCTGGGCAGCCTGGTCTAGTGGGAGGTGTCCCTGCTCATGGCAGAGGGGTTGGAACTGGGTGATCCTTGTGGTCCCTTCCAGCCCTGACAGATTCTGATTCTGTTTTAGCAGAGGACTTAGTAGTGTTGACTTAATGGTTGGACTTGATGATCTTAAAGGTCTCTTCCAACCTAAAGGATTCTATGATTCTAAGATACCACACTAGCGCTGATAGCCAGAGATGAAGGATGTCTAAACAGTTTTTCTGGCTTCTCCTGAGTGACCATGGGGAGATCTTTCTGGATTTCTTATCCAAAGCTGCATAATACGGACGTAATACCTCCTCTGTTCCTCTTCTGTACTTGCTGTGGAAGCCCTCTGTGAAACAGGTTGTTGCTCAGCCTGTTTTGTACAGCAGCTATGGGGATCTGCTATCAGCTATTTACTGTGGAGGTTTCTGTGGGACAAATGAGAAAATCCACATCATGCTGCCACTACCATGCCAGTCAGGTTTGCTTTGAGGAAGTAAAATTACGAAGTCTAGAGGCAGAAAACTCCTCAAAATAAGGAACAAGTGTTTATCAGGAATAAACCTTATTTTCACAAAGCAGTTGGTTTGCAGGCTATCCAAAAGCATTGCTGTCAAACTTGAGCTCCAAAAGCAGCATTTGTGTAGTGCTTCAAATTTACAGAACTATATTAAAGGTTGATTTTTTTCCCCCCTCATTTAAGTGAAGCTGCATTATTAAGTCACTGGGGTTTTTTTGTCTTCATAGTTGGGTGTTTATCGATATATTTTGGAGACAGTGGAAAGACAGTTTGTCATCTTTAGGATTTTAAGAACCTGAGAGAAAGCCACAGTCACTCTTCGATATTGCACTCTGCTGCAAAAGAACCTCATTCAGGTGGTTAATTATAGGGACTTTTTTCTTCTTCCTTTTTCTTCCCTGTCAACTCTGTGCACAGGGAATTCTTGCTGAATGGTGCCCTAATGGCCACTCTGCGATCCCCCTACTTAATGAGCTACTTCTTACATAAATAAGTTTCAGAATAACTGGGCACAGATGTCGAGTTGTCCGTTTTTTGTTGTTGTTGGTTTTTTTTTTTTTTTTTATTTGGGGGAGGCCCTGAAAATGATTGTCATTCTTCAGTCTTCATTTCCATTTCAGCTTTCAAGCCTGGTGAAATGGCAGCATTCCTATCATTGCAAAGGTTACTCAGCCATGTGAACTGGGACTAGTTCTGAAAGATTACAGGCATTTCCCTTGCCAGTGTGCACCTATCCTCCTGCTGTAAGCTGTTTGCTGGCTGCCTCCTGCACTCAGCAGGTCAGGGGGACGTGCTGCTGTAAGCTGTTTGCTGGCTTGCTCCTGCACTCAGCAGGTCAGGGGGACGTGCTGCTGTAAGCTGTTTGCTGGCTGCCTCCTGCACTCAGCAGGTCAGGGGGACGTGCTGCTGCAGAGCTCGCTTGCTAGCTTGCTTCCAGCCTTGTGCTGTGGTGTAGGAGCCTATGTCTGCTGCAGGCAGCAAGTTTGGAGGGTGGGAAATGCTTCTTTTGTCTGCTTCTAGGAAAAAAAAAATTAATCTTGAATGTCTTTTTCAGCATCTCTTTACAGTAAAAAACCCACAAAGATCAAACCCTAGAGGAACAATAAACCTCATCTATACCTCCTGGATCACATTCATTCCAGACTAGGTTTACTTAGGCAGCAAAAATATCAATTCGTCATATCAGCTCAAGGCAGACACCATCTGGTCTGCTGGTCCCCTTTTAATAATCTTTCTTTTCTAGCATTACCTTATCTTTTTCTTTCCTGCGTTGCTCTGTCAGAGGATACCCACTGTCACAGTGCTGGTTCTTCTCCTGGTGCCACAGACCAGCCCAGTGGTGGGGCTGGCCTGTCCCGTGGGGCTCAGCACCTTTCCTCTCTGACCTGCCTCCATCTGGTTAATTGCTGTTTCCTGTATTTTTTTCCAGGGCTTTGTTTGAAATAAGGTCCTGTGGGAATCCTGTATGGGGTTTCTGTTTGTTTTTTAATTGAATGTCAACATGGACCTGTGGGGAAAAAAATCCTGTTCATTATGGAAGCTCAGTTAAACGGGGATGATAAAGGGAAGCTTGATACTACCTGCTCAGCCATAAAAGTGAGTTATGGCACCTGAAGATGAAAAGCCATGAGGAATCAATCTTAATTTAGCACAACTTAACACTGTGCTTGTATTTTTATCTACTTGAGGGCAACAGATAACATGTCTAAACTTCCCAGCATGACAAAAGCAGGCAGGATTTGGAGAAGGTGGCACAGATGGGAGTGGAGAGCCCCATTGCTCTGCAAGCACATGCCTGAAAGACCTTTTCTGCCCCACCCCATCTATGTGGGAAGTGTTGCTGGAAAAGCTGACAGGATCCTTGAGGTTCAGAGCTGAGAGGCCTCACAGGGAGTGCAGAAAGCATCTACCAAAGCTACTTCCCTGGAGTTATGAAAAGGAGTGATACAGCTATGGGCAGCCACACTGAGGTTTTCTCAAGGAACAAAGAGTTCTGGTGTAGCTTGTCACACAAGTGTGGGAGAGGAAGAGGACTTTCCTCAAAGACCACAAGAAGCTTGCTTTCCCATGAGTCCAGATTCTTTTTTTAAAAAGAAAGATTCTTTGGAGAGGTTTCCTTTGGTGATTAGTTTTTGCAATGCAGGGTCTTGTTTCAGCAGATATTTGAATGGAGATACGTCATAGATACAAAATTAAAATTATTTAACTGTTCTCAAATGTTCTTCTAGAGGATTTACTTATTCAGACTTTTTTTTCCCTTGTGTTTCTATAAACCAGGGCTTGCTTGGGTGTCCTAGAATAGCTGTGTTGTCATCCTGGATGAAGAGCCCTTTCTTTCTGAATTACCTACATCTGCTTTCAAAGTTGTCTGCGATAAATCAGTTAGATGTTATTTCACTGTACTTCAAACCCTACTATATTCTGAAATTAATTTCATGTGTAGACAAACTCCTAGGAAACTTTTTTTTTTTTTTTAATTAAATATACTTAATTTATGAGCCTTTGCATTTTATCCTTGTACCAAGAAATGAATCCTGTTCCTTTAAGGTGTTTTTTGTTTTGTTTTGTAGGCTGTAAGATGGCACATTGAACTACAGCCATGGGCGAGTCCAACTCCTTCCCTCAACTATGAGGCCTTGAGGTTCCTGAAGTACATTAGCACTTCTCAGGTAAGTTTTTTTTATTTCAGTCTCCATTTAGAAAACCGTTTGCCTGGCATAGACTGTTCCCTCTCAGATAAGGAATTAATCTCACACCAAACTGATTTCAAAATTGCTTTATTTCTGAAGTCATATAATCTAGCAAGGATGGTCAATGTGAATGTAAAGGTCAAAATATAGAATAGAAGGAATGCATTATTTCCTTTTTATTTCCAAATGGGTTTGTGTCCTGACAGGAGTATGATATGTCTGAAGTTCCAGATATGATTCCTCTCCTGCATCTGGAAAATTCATGGGTTTATGTGCTTTTTCGAAGGTGCCGTTTCCAAATCCAGATTGTGTTGACAGATACTTCCAGTGTTCAGCATGTATGGAAATCAGGCTGTCATGTCTTAATGGAGACATCAGTTCTGCACAAAAGCATTTAGGCATGCATTTCCTGTAATAAAAAAATGGAAAATGGCCACAGTTCCAACAGGATGGTTGCTTTCCTTACCCAGATCTATCAGTAGTTGACCCTTGAATGAAGGTTTAACTGCACCATCGCTTACACTGGAGAACAGCAAAAAGCCTCAGGTGTTAATGTCACTGAAATGTCATTCACATACAAAATTCTTTGTTAATGCAGTGCTTTCGAGGCTGAGACAGAAGACCCATTTGAAATGTGTCTAAAAATATGCTGCTGTGCCAACAGTGTGGTACCTGGGACGGTAGCAATGTGCTCACTTACCCTTCAACTTGTGGGTACCCCTGGCTAAATGCTTAAGAAAATGACATCTCTGCCTCCACTCACACCAGCACTGAGAGGGCAGGGGGAGAGGTGGTGCATGTGAAGGCAGCAAGAGATGTCTGTAGAGCTGCTTGTTTTGTTGTACTGAAGTTTAGGCTGCAGCAGGCATATTAAGCTGAAAACATCCTTCATCTCGGTGACTTAATAAACAGTGGCAGATGATGCTAAACTCCACTAGTTGGGTCAAAGCCTACAAGGACATCAATTAGCAGAGAGTTTATTGCTTCTGACACACTAATCGAGAAGTTTCGTTCCCAGAGTAACTGAACCTGGTGGAGGGGACAAGTGTAAGTGAAAACAAAAGATAAATGCGTGTTCCTGACCTGGCAGGATTCATAACTGACAGGATAGCACCATGACGGGTATGAGCACTTCTGGAAATGGTATCCTGCGTATGTAGGTGAGCAGGGGATCTTGTTTGCTGAGCAAGTGTCTGCTAATTACTTTGAGTTCAGCTCCTTGACGTCAGTGTAGAATGGCTCAGACTGCTGGAGGGGCAAGGTGCCATGTCAGCAGGGTCAAGGTGTGGCCAAAGAAAGCTTTTATAATGCTAGTATTTGATGGTCAGAAGAACCATCTTACACGTGCAGTTGTTCAAATGATAGCAAGTAGAAGCCCAGGGCAGGATTGTGAGCTCAGTGTATCGGGGTCTGTTAAACCACACAACAGACTAACGATGGTGCTAAAGGCAGAGTTCAGGTGGGGTTTTTTGATAGCAAGAGCTATTAAAATTGCTCAAATTCTGACTGTTGTAATTGCTCATAATAGCATGAGTCAATTAAGTGGCAGCACTGCAGAATCTTACTTTTCTGTAGAGAACATGTTATTCTTCTGTGTCTTAAAATTAGTGCTTGTTATTACAGTGCCATTTATTCTTTGATTGTTATATGACTGAAGGGAAAGGGGTGGTGGGGTGCCATGCAAGTCATTGCTTAAAACTTTGTGAATCCTGAGAGCAACCTGAAGAGATGCTATTTTAGCTTTTATGAATTTTCCATGGGAATTGTGAGCTGAGCAGGAGCAGGGAGGTGTTGATGGACTGTGTAGCTCTTTGAATGTAGTGCTCCAGATAATGGTCTTTCAGAGCTTAAGCTTCTTAAAGAATGTGGTTTATTTACTTACTATAAGGCATATGGTAGAGAGTGCCTGCCACAGCAAAGGCTGGGTTCAAATTTTCACTCTCATCCTTGTGTAAAAATTTTCCATTTCTGTGTTTGCAGGTGGGGCCATATCTGAGATTATTAGTTTGGTTAAAACCAAGAGCTGAGCCTGGGCAGTCTGCTGTAGAGGAGGGAAGGAGCAAGATGAGAACAGTCAGTTCAGGACTGATGTTTGGTCTTTTTTGGCTCTACTACTGTTCTTTCCACCATTTTTATTGTTGGCTTTCTGGCAGTGCCAGTTCCCATCCCTGCAGCCAGGATTGATACTAGGCCCCAAACCCAACTTTTTTCTCATGATGGCTCATTTGGTTTCCTGCAACTCAGTCTTTGCTTTCCTATCTGCGTTTTAGCAGCCAGTGTCCTGCAACCCCTCTGAGTTTGGTGGGTGAGCTGCACACGGTTTGAAAAGCCCTTCAACAACCAAGCGTAAGCTGATGCTGGTGCGGCGTGGCACAGCCTCTTTTGGGCAGAAGTAACCACAGCTTTGGTGCTTACTGCTGCTTCCCTCTGCCTCCTCACCACTGCTATGGTGACAGCCATACAAGTTGCACTGGTTTTCCATTGCCTGCTGTGCCCTGGCTCCCGAATGCTGGAAAGTTTGCTGCATCCCCAGCTCCATGCCTGCCCTTTCCAAAGTGGATCTGGTGGAAGAGGGTGACAGGGAATGAGAGAGCCTGGGGCTGGCTGGCCCAGGGTGCCAGGCACAGGCAGAGCTGGTGCTGCAGGCAGGGGCTCCCCCTTAGAGAGTCACTCCCAGGGCCATGGCTTCCTTGGCTCAGTCACTGCTGTGTTTAGGTTGTTGCAGGTGGCTGCTTAGCTGCTGGCAAAGCTGAGTTCACATCTCAGTTAAGTGATTTTGGACACTTTCAGGTTTCTGATGAATCTAACACAGTCCTTGCTTTCTTGGGTCTCCTTTTGCAGTGTTTTTATCTTGGCTTTAGATTCTAGTTGTCTAGGCCAGCACAGCAGAGACACACGTACCATGATTCCTGTGTTTAGTCAAGTGCTTGCTTAAATTCCTTTGCTGCTGGAGGGAGAACGTGTTTGGGTAATGATTAAATCCCTTCTGGAACCAAGGTCCAGGACACTCGGGGTAAGGTATACAGTGTACACTGCAGTGACACTGCAACTTGTGGTTGCAGTCTTGAATCATGATGTGATTTTAATATTATTCAGGGTGCAGAATCCTCTCCAAAGTTTGGAAAGAAAAACCAACACGTTTTAATGCCGCAGTAACTTGTTCTCAGGAAATTGATTTAGGGGTATGGTACTAATGCTTAATTATCTGCTTTTCAAACTACATTACTCTCTGGGGGATTACGTAAGCCTTAAATTTCACCAAGCAGAACAGACAAACAAGGAAAAAAAAATCATCAAATCTCCATAGCTGTGTATCACACTGACAATCAGATTTAAATGAAACCAATTAACATTTTTCTTCTTTCCACTCTAAAATTAAAAACAAATTAACAGTCATGTCTTAAAATGAAACATCCTTTGATTTCAACAGATTTCATGTGAGCACATGAACCTGAACAGCCTGAGAGGATACTCTGAAGCCACAAAGAAGCCCTGGTCGATCTGTCTTGACGAGAGGTTTAGCCTCATTCATCGAATCAGAAGCAAGCAATGCCGTCTGTATTCCCTTGGGTACGTGCTCTCTTTCAAAGGCAACAAATTGTTTCATGACACTTAGCTTCAAAAAGCCCTCTAAGTGCAAAACAAGCTGCAACAAGGTTGTCTTTTAAAATGTAGACTTTGTTCAGGTGTGTTTGGCACACGTTGATGTGCTTCTGTGAACCCTGGTTTTGGGGAAAAACCTTTCTCTTCGAGGGTGTTTGTTTTCCTTTGCTTTTCTAGTATCAGTATGAAAACAAATCGCTTAATGGTGATTAGTGAGTGGTAGCTCATACAGAGGAAGGTGGAAATTAACGAGATAAACTGAGAAGCCTGCAGCATCTTCCTTGAGCAGAAATGACTTGCATAATTGCCAGGTACTTCAGCAGCATTACTTATAAAGCTTCATTAACTATCCCCGGGACAAAATAGTACATTTCCATATGAGAGTGTATTTGCTAAGCACTTCAGGGGTGACATGTGCCAAAGTGATAATAATAAAGGCAGTTGTGGCTTTATTTTAAAACATTTGTAGTGTTTATGATGTTTACAGCAGCTGAGATTGAAGTTTTCACTCCTCGCAGAACAAGTATTTTCACAGGTAGTAAACCCACAAATGCAGCCTGTTTCCCTGCTAATAAAACACTCTGCTTCCTGGGAGGAAAGCGGAGGTCAGTCCTCAAGAGTTTGTCAGGCCACTGGCCTTTTGCATTACCCATCAGCACACAGTTGCGTTAGGAGAATGATTGCTGAGATCTGGAGCTCGTTTCACACAGATCACCACATGGCTGCTGCCTAATAAAACTCTTTGCTGTCCTGGGAGCCAGCTTTGGGTAAGAGATGTATTGAAAGGCTTCATCCCTCTTGAACCAGTGCAGTTTATTTCTGTGATCTTGCTGCTGTGGGCTTACAAATGGTGGATAAAGAGGAACTGTGTCTGACTGGCATTTCTCAGTGAATAGCACATGGCACTTAACACCAGCAATTAATGTAAAGTGGTTGCAGATCGTGCTGCAGTCAAAGGGAATGTTTTCTGTTAATTTGGGTGGGCTTGTATTTGGACCAAGCTTATAATGAGCTGTAAAGACCAAACCCCTCAGGACATGAGGGGCTCTCAGGTTTTTATTCAGCTGCATTGTTCTGTGGCAAAACAACAACTTGCCCCTTAGAGGCAAATCACATTATATGGAGAATAAACTCCTCTTGACTACTGCTGCTTTTTATTTTTTAATGTTTTTTTTTTTTTCCAATCTCTTTCAAATTATACTTACCTGGTTTTCATGCAAAACCCTGAACCATAGAATGGTTTGGGTTGGAAGGGACCTTGAAGATGATCTAGTTCTAACCCCTCTGCCATGAGAAGGGACACTGTCAGCTAGACCAGGTTGCTCAAGGCCACATCCAACCTGGTCTTGAACACATCTAGTCGTTGGAGCATCCACAACTTCCTTGGGCAATTGGGTTGAGTGTCTTCACCCTCACAGTGAAGAACTTCCTTACATCTAATCTAAATCTACCCTCTTCCAGTCTGAACCCATTACCCCTTATCCTATCATTGCAAGTCTTTGTAAAAAGTCCCTCTCCAGCTTTCTAGTAGGCACCTTTCCGATACTGAAAGTCTCCCCAGAGCCTTCTCTTCCTTCTCCAGGCTGACCAGCCCCAACTCTCTCAGCCTGTCCTCATAGAAGTGTTTCAGCCCTCTGATCATCTTTGTGGTCCTCCTCTGGACCTGCTTTAAAAGGTCTGTGTACTTCTTGTGTTGGGGGCTCCAGAGCTGGATGCAGTTTAGGTTTACATAATTTTCTTTTCCTCTGTTTTTGACATTCCTGTGAAAGATAGGGGAGATACTGTGTTATCACATGCTCAGGTCCAGACCTCACCTACCTGGCTGTTGTAGGTAGGCTCCTTCTCGCAGTCAATAAGGACAAGCAGACACATTCAGATGGAAACTCAGTTAAGCTAAATAACATTCTGGAGGTAGGTATAGCTTTTCTCTGATTATAGAGGAAGTCAGCAGTAATGTGGCTGCTGACTTTAGGTGTCTTGGCAAAGTATTCATAGTTCAGTGGAATTAATTTGGACCTTGCCCTTCAAGTGACATGATCATTAATATTAGACCTGAGCTCCTGTATTTGTGTCCCTCTTCCCTCTTGCTATGGACCAAGTGTGGGTTGAGAATGGTGGTTTTGTTGAATTGGCAAGTAGGCAAAACACAGAGTTGATTTCATCTGTGCTAGGAAGTGCAGATTTGGCATGAAGCTGACCAGCACAAAGATGACTTGCTGTTGGGTTTGAACCAGTCTGAGATAATGTATGTATACCAGTGCTATAGATGTGTTGTTTGGGGTATGGTACAGGGAGCCTGAATGCTAGGTTTTCTCTACTGGTGGGAGCAGTAGGGCTCAGGAGAGACTGGAGTTGATGTTGGCTCTTCCATCAATCAGGTACACACATGCAGTAAACATGCAGCCATAATGCATCACATGAAACAGCAAAAAAATAAAAGGGAAATATTTGAGGTTAAGGAGGAGCAGTTTACTCCAGTTTACTTCTGCAGCCTTTGGAGCTCATTACTGCATATTTCTTCTCTCAGACTCACTTCCTTTAGTTTATGACAGGCAGAAAAACAATTTTGTTCTGAGCAAGATGAAAATCCCCTTTAAACATTTTTGTTATCTCATACACTTCATAAAGAGTGAAGAGGGAGCAGCTGCTTCCAATGAAGAGTGTTCTCTGTGGAGAGGATGGATGGAGGACAAATGTGAAAGTTCAGTGTGGCTGTTACTGGGAATCCTGAATTAAATCCATATATCATTAAAAATGGAACAAAACATGCTGCTTAGGCTTTGTCTTCTTGAATGTTATAGGAGAGTTTACTTGTGAATGGGAGCAAGCAGTGTCTGAAATGCCTGGAGATCTTTTTAGATTAGTATTAGTTGCCTCTGCTACTGGGAGGCAGCAATGTTTTTGCTTAGGGGAGAGGATTTCCCAGTATGATACATAATTGCAATATGCATTAGTGAGCTCTAGTTATTAGTGCTAAATCTGCTTAGGTTAAGCTAAGTCTGTTACAAACACCACAGGCGATGCACTCAAGCTGGGGTAATATAAATGAATAGGATTTCAGAAACTTAGTAGTTGAGCTTCAGAGAGTCTTGCTGCAATGCTGTATAAAAGCCCTTTCAGGTGGGTCTTGAATTGTGGTGGCTTTAGGATCCAGACAAGGGATGCTTCATTTTTTCCCTGAGCTGCGGAACTCTGTCCTCTTCCTTTGAGAAAGATGAAAAGGGAGAACACAGCAAGGGAAAGCTGGACCTTTACATGCATGTTTTCACAGCTCTGTCCTGTGGTCCTCGTGGGAGCTGGAGTACCTGCAGTTGTCAGGCTGGGTCAGCTACAAGTGTCCACCGGAGCTCTGCTGGAGGAAACAAAGCAGCTTTTGTGCCACCCACTCCAGGGTGAGGCGGGGCCGGTGTGGTGGTGCTGGCCCAGGCCAAGCTGCAGCCCAGCGCCGGTGCCGCGTGGGAGGCTGTCCCCTGTGACCCTCTGTGAACCCTGGGAGCTGGGGATGGCCAAGGGACTCTGCTCCCTGCTGTGCCACGCTCCGTCCCGGGTCAGCGTCCCTGCCCCGCCGCTGGCGGGGAGCAGTGCCAGCCAGCCCGCCCTCCCTCCTTCCCGCCCTTCCCACTTGCACGCAGGCTGGGAGAGCCCGTCCTGCCACTGCCACTGCTGCTCCTGCAAGCCCACCTCGGCCCCGGCTGCGGGTGGCTCTGTAGCCCAGCTCTCTTCTCCTTTACAGTAAAAATAGGTCACTGTCTTCAGCATTTTTTTTTTTATTTTGCTGTTGCTAGAGGCAGCAGTTGCTCTCTCCTGATGGTGAGGAAGGACCTCTCTAGTTTTCTGTGACCTCCACACCTTTCTTTTAAAATCATGATCCCTTTGTAGATAACACAAAAATTTCCTTAGGAGAGCTCATTTGTTTACCTTTTTCATGCTATGTTATTCCTTAGCATGAGCATAGGTGAGCCAGGAATTTTTCAAACCAGTTCTTTTGGAGATGACCTTATTTTCCTAAATATTTGTTGTTGGTTAGATCTCTCTTCAGGCATAAATTTGAGCTGTTAGCTAGAGTGCCAGACAATATATCAGCACCTTCTTCACCTTCTTCCTCTCCCCCCCACCCCTTTTCTGTTTTGCACAACTATGAAGCTCCCTTTGCAGTCCACACGAGCAGCAATCTGGAGGCAGCCTGAGGTCAGTCTATATCAAAAGCATCTGGTCCTCTGGTTTGTACCAGTTGATATGGTTAGAAGTGTGTCATGGGTGCCTGTGTCTCTCAGTCACTGGTAGGCTCATTGCTCTAATGCTGTGACTGGCCCCAACAATTCACATGTTGTTAATTTTTACCCAGCTTCTCATTCCTAAGGGATTACACTGGTCTTTGCTCATCAGTGTCCCCTATGTAGAATGCCACATGCAGACAAATACATCGATTCACTTGGTTAACTTCTGAACTTTTTTCCAAATGTGTGTTGAATATATTAGAAGAAAACTCCTCTCTTTTCCTCCTACTCGGCTGTATGGCCTGGAATCCTGTGAAACAGTTGTTCTTAAAAGCACACTGGGCTGATTTTGCAAACCCTGTCTCTTCCTTTCCTACAATGCTTGAAGGGGAAGGTGGTTGAGAAGACTTTCTAATAGGGCATCATTACACTGTGCTTAGCCAGTATTACAGCAAGTGTTTTACCATTTCTGTAACTTCCAAAAATTGTTTCAGAAGTTGGTTTCAGTTTGGTTTATCGGTATGTCATCCATGTAAAACATTTAGTGCTGACTTAGTGTCATACCATAGCATAGCATAATTTAAAATTTATTGCATTTTAGATATTGATGTAAATAGCCACAACTATTTCAGACTCACGCTGTTTCTAAGATTAATCGTGGTGTAGTGTAACAGGTGCTCTGACAGCAGATCTAAGAGAAGTGTCCTGCAATGGTCTGTATGTGATAGATAAATGCTGTGCTGTTAGTACACAGTGAATATTCTCAATTAGTAGAGCTGGTTAAAGTGCTGACTTAAAAATCTTGATTCTCGTCCTAGTGCTACAAATGTGTATAACCAACACTATAATTTTGATCAAGTTCAAGGTTTTTTGTCTAATATGAACCAGATTTGGAACAAGCTTGAAGGAGTAGGTATGAAGAAGACATCCTATTTTATGCAGTAGGGAAGGCCTGTGGTCCATACATGTGATTGCAATGATAAATTCCAGAACTTTTTAGTTTTGATGTACCCTGTGTGGACCAGTGAGTTGGGGATATGGCACAGTCTTGTAAAGTACATCTCTTTGCAGAGACAGGGACTGAGACAAGGGGTAGGATGGGGCTGTTAATTCTTTCTTCTGCTTTGGGGTCTTTTCCAAATTTAAAGCAATCTTTCTCTTAAGTCTGTGTAAAAACTCTGCTCCTATTGTGAAGGGGTTACTTTTAAATTTGCTTTTTTACTCTGTCTATTCCTGTGCACAGAGAAAGACAGACATTTGGTTCTTGTGTCTTGTCTCTGTTGGTGGCCATTGTGGCTCATCTCTGCAACACTAGATTATGGATGTGGTGGGATATATGCCTGATTTTTACAAAACAGTACTGTATAAATTTCAAATGTAGTTACTTTTCTGCTTATGGCTTGGTTATTGGAAGTTTGTGCGGTGGGGACTAAGGAAAGTATTGTAATATTGTCAAGAAAAGGCAAATTGAAAATAGAGGTGTATATATAAAAATATATGTTGTGAATAGAGGAATAGTGACAGCACAAAGGTTCTAACGTTTAGTTTACTTTTTTATAAATTATGGCAACTTCTGAACTAAGAAAAAGCTCTTTGGAAAGATTATCAGCTTGGCTAAAAGTGGTTTAGTTCTTGTCTTGAAAGGAGCCCTTCATTCTAATTGTATGCAGTATGTTGCAATGAGCTTGAATTTTCTGGTGAGGTGAGTTCTTCCAATCCACTCCATTAGTTTCATTCTATAAATGAAAACTTTCATTAAGAATTTAAGGTCAGTTATGAATGTGACACTGGGGAAAAAACACATTCCTTTAAATTTCCTTTATCTAGCTGCTTATTCCAAATCTTCAACATGTATTATTGTGGACCCTTAGCTTTATTTATGGTTATCTTGTCAGAATTGGGGTTAGAGGGTGCTCAGTGGTGTGGATATATCCCAAGAAGGAGCAAAACAATTCTTCCACTTTGCTTCAGAAACAAATAAGTTGGATTTTACCTTCTTTTATTACGAATCCTCAGAATGTCCTATTCATTAATAGTTCTTTGTGGAGTCTTAGTAGTTTCATCTTTTTTGTTTTGTAGGCTAGGCAATGATGACAACCAGTTTGAGATCGGCATGGCCAACAGTGGATGTGAGGTGCATCACTTTGACCCCAGTATCAAGTCAGCACACATTCAGGAGGGTCGTCACCTCTGGTATCATCGCCTGTCCATTGACTGGAGGGATCCAAATCCAGCCATTGCTGCTCATAAACTTCACAGCAACACAAAGAAGCTGGGCACAATATTGAATGAATTTGGGCATCAGAAGGTAAGGACTTGGGGTTGGGTCTCTGACTGCAAGTTAGGTGTTGGGAAAGCTGCAGAATTTCTTCCTTGCTGTCTCAGGAGTTTGGGCACTTTCCAAGGTGATCTTCTGACAACTGGTCTTTCTTCAGCAATACTTGTAATGTGTTCCTTGTAGGGCTGCATTTTCTGTCTTGCTTTTTCTGTGTGCTCGTAACAGCCACCTTGATCTTAAGCGACTAGTCATACACTAAATGTTTTCTTCCTCCTGCCGTCCTTTTTTTTTCAACTAGCTGGTCACATTGGGTGCTAGTATTTTCTGCCCTGTGGAAGTTCTGGTCCTTGTAAACTACTCATACAGCCAAGTTTATAAAGAGGGAAAAAAATTACTTGCAACAGTAATTGGAGAGAAGAGATAATGGATGGGTTGTTTACATTTTCAAGGTCATTGGTCCTAATTACAGTCTTCAACAACAAAAACATCCTGTTTTGAAATTGGCAGCTATCTGTGGTTTTTTAACATTTCCCCGTTTGTTTGTAAAGAACTGAAAAGACATCAGAAGTCTTCAGGCCCCAAGTAACTGTTGCCAGAATATGTTTGAAGAAGTTCCTTAGGTTGTTTTTAAGAGAGTTTTTCCTTCAGAGGATATACTAGCATGAATTCAAATGCTAATAGACTTCATTGCCTGCAGCTAGTTCTGCTTGTCTTTGTTTTTTAAGAAATAGGCAGCCTGAGCTAAGAAGAGGCTTTTCAGTAAGATTTACAAAGCAAGCAGTGCAATGCTTGGTTTGTTACTATAAAATGCAAGATATCCTTTTCAGTTCACTTCTTGCTTTTCTTTAATATTGTCTATTGGTTCAGCTCTGCCTGGACCATTTTGAAGAGAAGACAAAAAAAAAAAAAAAGCAGCTTTTTCCTTCTTCTTAGTTACAGTTATACTGTAACTATACTAGGCTATGCATTAGTGAAACATCTGGGGAGAGAGAGAGAGATGGCTTTCCTTTGATGTGTGCCTTGCATCGATTGTTTTGATTTTAGAAGAATTAGTCACAGAACAAATGATTAATGACCTGATCCAGAAAAAGCATATGAGTCTTGTGTTACAGGAGGCTTACTCAGAACAGTCAGTTCTCAGGTTAACATGGTAATATTTTCTGTAAATGAGAAAGTTGTAGCTACCATTCTGAGGATACAACTTCCTGGGCAAAAGTTATCTGAAATGAAAGGAGCTGTGTGGAGGGCAGCCAAGGAACAGAATGCACATGCAACACATGCAGTCAGACTTTCCTCTAGCTGTGCACACATGACATAGGGTTAAGTGTGTTAGCACGTTATGAACAGCGTATACAGCCTCTTGCTCTGTTAGCATTCACGTAGCTCCCCTCTGCACAACTATGGCATTAGTGAAGGCAGGAGCTGACTGTCTCCCGGTGAGGATAAAGCTGTTACACACTCTGCAATCTTCTGTTAATTCTTATTTGTGAAATGCCTGAATAGGCTGACTCTCCTCTCATTGTTCTGGTTAGTTTTTCTTTAATTTGAAAGGTGGCCTAAGAAGTTGTATGTTGCATAAAGACACTGATAAGCTCCACATTATGAAGAGAACATCAAAGTAAATACCGGGACTCTCAGGTTTTCATTCTTCTGGTGAATGTGAGTGGAATGTTCCCCTGACTGAATGAATAAGTTAATTCAAAACAGTTTCAGAGTATTTTTCCAAAGCACTTTTTCCAATTAGAAGGTTAAAATATGCTATTTGTCCCCTTCTTTTTAATTTTAAAAATCCCTCTGCCTACCCTCAAAGTTGTTCCGTTCCCACTTCAAGGCAGGAATTCCAGGCAGCTGCATTTGAAGTTAATGTTTTGTTTTTGCATTGCTTTTATTCTTTAAATTTGGGACTTGAACCAACACACTCTAAGTGATTGAGACTTATTTCCACTGGTGTCATAGACTTTGGATAGGGCTGATGGAGGGAGGATAGACAAGGCCTCCTGGAGTTCTTGTCGTTGTAGCCTTGGAAAGAAAACAGGCAATTTGGGGGTTTGGTGTGCAAGGGAATCAAAGAACTTGGATGGACTTGTTTACACTCGGGCTCGTATGAGAGCACACCTGCTACTCTGCAGTCAGTACTGGGACCTCATCCACAGAAAGGCAAACCCATCCTCATGTTATGGCAAGAAATACAAACATTTTTTTGCTGTTAGAGTTGATCTGAGGTAAGATTAAAATAACTTGACCCTTCTAATTGGCTGGGTGGCGCAACAGTCCTCAGTTTTCTGGGCAGTGCAAATAGCCTGGAGGTAGAGGATTTATGGAGTACTAAATTAGGATGAGACTGACAAAAGAAACGTAGTCAGAGTATTTTGATGAACTATTAGAGTGTGAAATCTTTTAAACCCTGGAAAAATCACCAGAGGATGTTATGAGGGTCTTATTTCCTGGTACACAAATCTAAACTGAAAATTTACTGGTTTATCTTCTGAAAAGAACAGTATTTCATTGGCCTACAGGAAAGGATAGAAATGTAAAAATTGATCTTCCTAATCACCCGCTTCCCCCTCCTTTTTTTTTTTTTTCTGAACATGCACACTCTGCATGTTCTCTGGAGAAAGCCAGTAAATGCACAAGACGTTCTTTGTTATTGCAGTGGAGTTCAATTTTGTAAAAGCTTTCACTTTCATATTCTCTAACTGCCGACTGGGGTAAGGGTGGTACAGTTCTGGTGTTCCTTATGGATGAGCAACAACTGGATGGGGTACTTCCTTCATACACAGTTGGTGGATAATTCAAGTCAGAAGCACACTCTGTAGCACACTGCAGAGGAACAGTGGAAAAAGGAGAAAGCCAGTAAATGCACAAGACGTTCTTTGTTATTGCAGTGGAGTTCAATTTTGTAAAAGCTTTCACTTTCATATTCTCTAACTGCCGACTGGGGTAAGGGTGGTACAGTTCTGGTGTTCCTTATGGATGAGCAACAACTGGATGGGGTACTTCCTTCATACACAGTTGGTGGATAATTCAAGTCAGAAGGGATCTTGAAAGGCCTGTAGTCCAATCACCTGCTCAAAGCAAGGGCAACTGTGAAGTCAGACAGGGTTGCTCGAGGCTTTATGCACTGTAGTCTTGAAAACCACTGAGTTTTCTCCAAAATGGAGATTGCACAACATCTCTGGGCCAGCTGTTGTCCTGCTTGGCTATGCTCATCGTGAGAAAGTTTCTCGTTATATCCGGTCTGAAAGCCCACAATTCCAATTTGTCTGTTGTCTCTTGTCTTACTTCTGTGCATTGCTTAAGAGCCTGTCTCCACTGTCTTGATGACCTCTTTGTAAGCTTTACAGGCTGATGTTAGTCCCCCCCACAAACCCATCTCCTTCCTAGGTTGAACAGGCCCTATTCCCCCACCCCTTCCTTGCAGGGCAAGAGCTCCAGTCTCCAGCCATCGTGGTGGCTCCTAACTGAACTCACCTCAGCTTTATCGTTGTCCTCTTTCTGTTGTGGGGATCAAAACTGGCTGTCCAGATGCATGCTCATAAGTGCAGGGAGAATCACATCCCTTGGTCTATAGGCCATAGTCTTGCATCCTGGGATGCTGTTGGTCTTCTTTGTAACACAACCCCCAGGACCTTTCTGCAGAGCTGCTCCTCAGCCAGGCAGACAGTCCCCAGCTTCTATCATTGCAAGGGGTCCTTCCTCCCTGGATGTAGGACTCAGCATTTGTCCTTGTTGAACTTTGTCAGGTTCCTGTCAGCCCATTCCTCCAGCCTGTCTGGGTCCCTCTAGATGGCAGCTCTGCCCTTGAGCGTGTGTATTGGCTGGTCCCACCAATTTGCCACAAACATGGTCAGTGCCATCTAGCACCTCCTCTAGGTAACTGATAAAGATGATAAGCAGGACGAATCCTGGTATAGACACTGTGGCACTCTAACTGACTTCTAGGTAGAGTACAGCCTTTTAACCACTGCCCTCTGAGCCCAGCCATCCAACGGGTTTCTTAATTATGTGGTTGTCTGTTCATCCAGACTGTAATAACCTGACTTGGATAAAGACTACTGTGGGAGATGGTCAAATACATATCCCAGTGCTCTTCTAGACTAGTCACAGCTGGCTCCATGGTCTTGCAAGGGTTCATTGTCTGAATTTCAGTTATAAGGGGTCTGATTCAGCTGTCTAAATAAACCATTCGGCTAGTACCAGCATAGATTTGCATTGTGTGTGGTGTCAGGGTCCTCCTCAGAAGATTGCTACAGAAGATTTTACGATCCAATAAAATTATGAGGGGATGTCCTTGCTGAAATGCAAGCTACCTCCTCCCACTCCAGCATTAACCCCTCTAAAAACAGTCCTAACCCTTAACCAGGAACTTAAACCAAGCTGCTGCATGTGTTCTGTATTCCAAAGGTTATGCTATAAAGCAAAATTTAAAACCCTTGACAGAAAGGCTGTGAGCAGCAGAAGCAAGGAAGAGTTCATTCTGTGCTGAGTGAGCACGAATAAGTAAATCACGTGTGTTCACAGTTTCAAACTCTGACTTAGGTAGTTGTTTGCCTCTTTCTAGAGCTCTGTAGGACAAATCTCATGTGATGCCATCAGTAAGTGCTATGAATTTGCATTCCTTGGCAGTAGAGCACAGCAGTGGATGAGATAGTTTCTTGGAAAACAAATGAAGCTGGAAAGGAGAATCTGAGAGTGCAAAGGGAAGCCTTCATTTAATGAGGAAATGATCATAAGTGTAACGTACAAGGGACAGCAGAGTTGTGTTGAAGTTGGAGTGAACAGATTGGGTCATTATTCATCGTGAAAAGAAATGCAAAGCAATCTGTAATCCTGATTTTGATTTGAAGGCTTTGATTTACACTGGCTCTTCATGAAGGTTTTTTTTTTGTGACAATGGCTGATGGGTGTCTGCTTCATTTTATTGAACAGGCTTAGATTTAGGGTTTCAAAAGGAGGAACCTTTTGCCTTTCACCTGTTATTTAATACTTGACATAACTTCAAAGCGCTACATACTGAAGCCTTTTTGAGT